CAGCAAAGATAAGTCCTACATTGTTTATATGAGTGTAAAGAAGTTCATGCCAGCAAAGATAAGTCCTACACTGTTTACATCAGTGTAAAGAAGTTCATGCCAGCAAAGATAAGTCCTACACTGTTACATGAGTGTAAAGAAGTTCATGCCAGCAAAGATAAGTCCTACACTGTTACATGAGTGTAAAGAAGTTCATGCCAGCAAAGATAAGTCCTACACTGTTTACATGAGTGTAAAGAAGTTCATGTCAGCAAAGATAAGTCCTCCACTGTTTACACGAGAATATAGTTGTTTTATGGTTCTGAATCAGTCACTTAGGAGAAACTTAACAATTCAATTATGTAACATTCCAATTAGGATTTAAACCCACGAAATTTGAATGAGTGTATTTTATTTTCGGTTTGTCACTGTATTGTAATTTGAAGTACCAAATGAACGAAACAATTTCTTTCGTTACATTTATTCAGGCACAATGGATCAAACTATTTCTTCTCGTTTCAAGTATTGAGGCAGAATGGACCAAACCATTTCTTCCTGCTGCTTGAATTTTGACAGAATGGATCAAACTCTCGAACGAAATTCACCAAACCATTTCTTTTTGGTGCTTGAATTTTGACAGAATGGACCAAACTCTCGAACGAAATTCACCAAACCATTTTTTACTTGCTGTTTGAATTTTGACAGAATGGATCAAACTCTCGAACGAAATTCACCAAACCATTTTTTACTTGCTGTACTGTATGCTATGTGATTTACAGATCCAATAGACAAAAACATAACTAACATCAAACTTGATGAAAAATATATGATAATTTTCTCATTAGGAATGTCACTTAACATCTTAAGAGTAAATTTAGGAAACTCAATTGAATCATGCCATTAAGATACTTAAACCATTAAGTTTCTTCAAAATTATAAATCAAGTGTTAACACTAGTGGGAAATGTCATGTCTGTAGTGAATAATTTCCAATAGGAAAATTCAAATATCTTAAAGTGTAAATTCTGCTTAAATTAACGAGCAGAAAAGAAAATACGACAAAAACCCTCCCACTAAACCCAAAATTTTCTAAGGTAAACAGATCTCACGTGTCTACTCGTCGGACGTTGTGAGGGTTAAAGGATGGTGTGATTACATCACAAAAAATTGGTTTATCCCACCTTCCCAAAAGCTTTCGAAATCGTTAATATCAGAACGTCAAGAAATTAATGTCGTGTTTTGGAACACTTTCATTAACCACCCACCAAAAACGTACATCACGTATAATAGTTAAACGAACCGTCTAAACGTCACGTTAGTGTAGTCTATATAATATGTAAAGTTTAGTATACTTTAATCCCTTATAGTGGTGGCACACGACCAGACACATTCGGCATGTAATGCTGTTTGAATACAAAAAGGCAAACAACGCCTCTGTAGCCACAAAGAATGTCAAAGAAGTTTGTGGAAATGTGTTGAACGTTCGTGAGTATCAATGATGGTTCAGAAAATTTCGTTCAGGTGACTTTAGCCTTAAAAATTGTGATGGCAGGGGCCGAAATGTTGAAATTTATATTGATGCTCTGAAGATTCTTATTGAGTCTAACCCAAGGCAAAACACTCGTGAAATTGCATGACTTTCATAAAACAATACGTAAACATATAAGGAATATGAGAAAAGAGGGTGTTTGGGTGCCTCACGAACTCTCCGATAATCATCGTTTCCAACGTGTGAACGTTGCTTCGTCTCTTCTGGCGCGTAATGCGCGTGAACCGTTTTTGGACAGAATTGTCACCGGTGATGAAAAATGGATTCTCTATGCGAATATTAAACCCCCAAAACAATGGCTCAGTTCTAGACAAAAACCACTTCCGACCCCAAAACCTGGACTCC